GGAGAGAGAAATGTGGGAGGGAGGGATAGAGAGAAAGGGGTGAAGTCGAGAGAGAGAGAGAGAGAGAGAGAGAGAGAGTATAAGAGTGAAATATTAAGAGACTGGGCGTATAAAAGAAGAAGGAAAATACACAGATTAGAATAAAAACGGTAAATGGGGAATTTCCGAAGAAAAAAAAGAGACAAAATATATATATGGAGAGAGAGAGAGAAAGAGAAAGAGAGAAAGAGAGAGAGAAAGAAAGAGAGAGAGAAAAAGAGAGAAAGAAAGAGAGAGAAAAAGAGAGAGAGAGAGAAAGCAAAGCAATTACAATAAAATTAGATTAAAAAAAGGAAGTGAAATTATGCAAGAAATCTGTGAACTGGTGATAACCAGAGAGTGAGTGTGAGAGTGGGAAGGACAAAGAAAGAACGAAAGGAAGAGGCAGAGGAAGAGAGAGAGAGAGAGAGAGCATATACCTGGACATTAATCGAATAGCAGTGTTCTGCAGTCCCACTCTTAGACGGCCAAAGCTAGGAAAAAGACTGAAGAACAACGAGTTCCGACAGGGAACTTGCCCCCCCCCACAGTAAAAAGACGAGACAACAAAACGACGAAAAAAAAGCCCAGATAAGACAAAAGAAGGAATAAATTTTATAACTTAAAAAAGAAGAAAAAGAAGAAGAAGAAGAAGAAGAAGAGGAAGAAGAAGAGGAAGAAGAAGGAGGAGGAGAAAGAGGGAAAGAGAAAGGAGAAGGAGTGTAAGAAGACGAACGAACAAGGAAGCAAGCAAGCAACCAACAACTAACCAACAACCTCAACAAGTTGCTGGAAATGAAACGGAGAAGAGAATGCCAAGGGTACTACCTCCTAGATTTGTCTCAGAGGTAAGTCATTTTTACAGACTATTCGGCTGAGTGATTAGTACCATGGTTCATATTAGAAAAATATTTAAAAAAATCTATCGCATTTTTTTTTTTACATTTTTTTTAAAAACTTCATTTTATGTTTTTTTTTATTGTTATTCTTTATATAACACCCTTATTCGACAGGCAGCATGTATCTGTTTAAATTGTTAACGCACTTAATACCTAGTTACTTTCCATACAGAATTGCGTGAATATATAACGTCAAGAGTTCTCTTTTAAAACCATATATATATATATATATATATATATATATATATATATATATATATATATATATATATATATATATATGTATATGTAGTAAGAGAGGGATAAACTGTAGGGAGAGAGAGAAAGAAAAGAGAGAGAGAGAATACCATGCGGTATTGGTTCGCAGTGCCTACATTTATGTTACAATGCACATAAATAAATTTATGTGCATTCATCAAATCTACCCCGTGTTTGTGTATGTGTTGCAAATTTTCGTATCTGCATATTGGCATAAATCTAGCATGTATATCTATATAGATACTTACTGTTTCTCTCTCACTTATCCCCCTCTCTTTAAATCACATAAACACGCTCAGATAAGCACAGATATTTATATATAAATAGATAAATTGCCTGTTGAATGTTCAAACAGCAACAAAAGTTTAACCAGACTTTCATCGGTGCATAGTCAATGGTTGAATATTTACATGCATTGCACTTCTGTTGACATTAACCCACATACATCATCATACACTATATAAATATATATTTATATATATGTAGACATATATATATATATATATATATATATATATATATATATATATATGTACACACACACACACACACACACACACACATATATATATATATATATATATATATATATATATATATATAAATGTCTAAAGTGTATAAAGCATAATTAAAATTAAATATATTTTTTGTGTGTATGCGTACGTTTGTATATAAGTGTATTTACGCACACCAGACACATACAGACACATCTCCCCTCCTCTCTCTCTCTCTCTCTCTCTCTCTCTATATATATATATATATATATATATATATATATATATAAAGCATAATTAAAATTTTGTGCGTGTATGCGTGCGTAAAATCTGACCGAATTTATATATTAGTGAATTTATGCACACAAACACACAGACACATACACACACAGAAAGACATACACACACACATATATATATAGATATATATATATAAATACTACATAAATTTTCAATATTCAAAATAGGTGAGAGTTTTCAGGAAAACATTGAACTGAAATATATGCATACAAATAGTAATATATATGTAACTAAAGTGCAATAAAGTATGTTTAAAAGTAGATATGTTTTGTGTGTGTATGCGGAGATATGTATTACATATATTACCAATGTGTGAGGGTTGTCAATAAAAAAAATGACGATATGTGCGCATATAAATGTTCTATATATATATATATATATATATATATATATATATATATATATATATATATATATATATATGTATATAAATTTTGTATTATTGTATTTATACTTCTAATATATATAAGACATATTTTACAATTAAATTATAAAACTTAGAGTTTATGCTTTTCTTTATCTATAGAATTCATATTCATGTTTCTATATATAAAGTCACTCTTATATTTATATATATATATATATATATATATATATATATATATGTGTATATAAACATGTATATATATATATATATATATATATATATATATATATGTATGTATATAAATCGTGTATATATATATATATATACAAATATATATATATTATATGTAAAATTTGTCTCTATATATATATATATATATATATATATATATATATATATATATATATATATATATATATATATATAATGTATATATATATATATATATATTTATAAATGATATTTACATATTTGTATAACCACACATATCTATTATCTCTATCAATCTACCTAGACATTTAGACATGCATCTATACATATAACCACGCTTGCATCTACCATGTATGCATGTATATATATGTATATATATGTCTGTGTGTATGTATGCATACATATATACAAGCCTATTTCTATAGATAATCACGCACATACAAATACTCAAATATACTTATTTATATATATATATATATATATATATATATATATATATATATATGTGTGTGTGTGTGTGTGTGTGTGTGTGTGTCGTATGTGTAACAATTGCTATATACAGAAATTAAAATTCAGCACGTGTATCGAACTGAACCGACTAGCGTTTTTTTACATGGGAACAATATTCTAATTTTGTATATGAAATATCGAACACACACACACACACACATATATATATATATATATATATATATATATATATATATATATATATATATATATTTATATGTTTAACTTTTAGTAAATTTGAGACGTGTCATTTCCTTGTATATTCCATTCAATAAAATGATTTTATGAACTCCAACCGGCAGGAACGCTAATCGGTCGGCCAGTGAATGCCGAATATTTTCTCGATGCAGACGCTTTTGTAACCGTTATTCTTACTACATATTCACACATCCTCATCCTAATTTGTGTGGGTGTCAAATGTTTTTATTATTTATATAAGTTACTTTCTTTGTGCAATGATTGAAATGGATAGTACGCTAAAATACGTATAAATCTATAAAGCTCACAGGTAAATAAATATACTTGTGTTTATATGTATATTATATGCCTTACATATAAATACTTCCAGAGATACGTATATGTATGTTTGAATGATTATATAATCGCCTAGCTCTCTCTCTCTCTGTATATATATATATATATATATATATATATATATATATATGTGTGTGTGTGTGTGTGTGTGTGTGTGTGTGTGTGTGTGTGGATAGATGGAATCCGTCAGAATGATTAAAAAAGAAACAAGTAGAAAGGCCATTAAAAATTGAATTTGTTATTTAATTTAAGCTGCAACAGAAGAAAAATGTTCCCCCACCAACTCCCGATGAAGCTAAATTTTTAAAAATCTAATTAAAGTTAAATTGATTAATAAATAAAATTGAAGTTAAATGAAATATATAAAAAATGATACATAAAATTAAAGTTAAATTAAAAATATCATTAAAAAATAAATAAATGAACAACAAAACAAATAAACTAAAAATTAAATTTAATTAAAATATATTTAAGAAATTGTGATAAAATTAAACGCGATATTAAAATTATAAACATTTACCTACAGGCTACTTATCTAATATATATATATATATATATATATATATATATATATATATATATATATATATATATATATATATGTGTGTGTGTGTGTGTGTGTGTGTATAAAATATATAGATGTAAAGAATCTCTTACATATATGCGTAAAAATTCAGAATAAATACAATATATGTGAATGTTCGAATAAAGACAAAAGGAAAACATTTCTTTACCAACGCGTTTCGTCCTCTGACGGATATTATCAGTAAAATATTAATATATATATATATATATATATATATATATATATATATATATATATATATATATATATAAGAAATTGAGAATTCAACAACATTTGCTCAATTTCGTTTATTAGGCATTAATTACATTACTTAGCGTCTTCCATAATTTAGCACGATATACACAGTTAACTTTAACTTAAGAATATTTTAGTGCGTTTCTAAATTAAAAAAAAACTGACGAGTGAACGATATTATTTTTCCTTCTGTTTATAAATACGTATTGATAAATAAAATTCTCATATTTACCTTTATAAAGTTCCTCAGAAGACGAAACGCGTTGGTAAATAAAATTTTTGTTCTTATTCATATTTTATCTCGTTTCCTGTTATATTTTTCGTCTTTCACACACACACACACACACACACACACACACACACACACACACACACACACACACACACACACACACATATATATATATATATATATATATATATATATATATATATATATGAATGTATGATATTGTAGACAGTGTGCCGAGATAGATAAATGCAAGCTGACAGACATGTATATTTCGATTTGTGGGTGTTACTCTGTTACGGTTCGCAACAGTGATTAGAGACACTATTTGGGTTTCATAGGCCTAATGACCTTATCAAATATGCGGGCATTGACGAATACAGGTTCTTCCATATGCAGCGATGTTTGTATTGACATTTGATAAATAAGCCTTTTCAGGTTGAGGTGCTTGCATGTGATTATGTCTCTTTAAATACAATAACACTGGCTCACCGGAAGTTTGAGAGAAATTCTGTGAAATGGCTTCTTGGGATATTCTATTGGACGCGTATAGATATTAGGAGATATACTGAATCTATCTATCTATCTATCTATCTATCTATCTATCTATCTATCTATCTATCTATCTCAGGCTGTTCATATCTATCTATCTATCTATCTATCTATCTATCTATCTATCTATCTATCTATCTATCTATCTATCTATCTATCTATCTCAGGCTGTTCATATCTATCTATCTATCTATCTATCTATCTATCTATCTATCTCAGGCTGTTCATATCTATCTATCTATCTATCTATCTATCTATCTATCTATCTATCTATCTATCTATCTATCTATGTATGTATGTATGGGTTTTTTTGAGTAATGCGATTTTTATGAGTATATATACGTATGCAACTCTATCATAAACATAGTTTCCATCGCTAATATTCTAACAAACGCACACACGGACATATGCCCATGCATATATATATATATATATATGCCCATGCATACACACACACACACACACACACACACACACACACACACACACACACACACACATATATATATATATATATATATATATATATATATATGCGTTGCCTAATTACGCATTGTAAAAACCTAAATATAAAAACTGCTCATTATTCGAAATAAAAACCAATCTCAGAATATACCTTGGTCAGTCACACAACACCCCCCCCCACACACATATATATATATATATATATATATATATATATATATATCTATAAGACCTTTTCAGAAATCGCTCAGTAGATAACTCGAGCTAATATACACTTGGCCAGACGCATTGCTGTGTTCTATTATACCATGAATATTTAACTAATCCCCTTGCTAGGGATTTGCATTCTTCTTAGCGCCATTACACGATACTGTTATTTATTTTTTACCATTAAAATAATATTTATGAGTGTAACTTTGTCATTTTCATTCTTATTCGAATTTATTTTGCTCTGTATTTAACCAAACTGTTAAAATACAAAAGAAAATCTATTAACCTCCACATAACACTTGTTACTTCAAATTTTCATTTTTCTCTTTTTCATTTCTCATATTTTTTATTAGCAAATATGACATTTTTGTTATAAATCCAAATCATATTAAATGAACGTGATTGTTATCCCTTTTAGATTTTACACTTATCAAAAGTAATTAAATAAATATAAAAATAAATTATCTGTTGTTGGTCAAAACATGCAAGTAAATAAATTTACCTGGAAAAAAAAGTTTTATATTTTGAGAATTTTTTCTTTCTTTTTTTTTTGTTGTTGCTATCCGCTTGCAGCCGGAATGACGGAGAAAGCATTACCTTGCACCATCACCAGTCAGACACACTATTAATTATTTTAGTTATTATTTACGAATTTCTTATTAGAAGTTCATAAAATTGATTATTACTAATCAATAGTTTGATGTAGTTTGTTACAAGAGACTTTTGGTACAAGATAATTTTGGTAAATCCATCAATAGTTTAAAATATTAAATACTATTATTTAGTTATTTCTTATTCGAAGCTCATAAAACGTTTCCAAAAAAAACAAAAAAAAAACAACATTTTTTTGAACAGAATAAATTTTACTTCTCAGCTTGTATTAAATATGAAATTTTTGTCTGAATTTCTGGGATAAGGAGTTATTATTATTTACACAATTTATATTCAGACTATTGTCCTCATCTTTGTTGTTGCTGTCACAACGTTTCGGCCGTTGTGCCATTCGGCTCTCCTCAGGTGTATATCGATCAGAGAATTCCAAACTGAACCCTTTATTTAATCTATGAGGGTAGACTGTTCTCGTTCCACTGATAATGCCCAGGGATATCTCCTCTAGTTCTTATTTTTATTTAGTGCTGTTCACTTATTGCTTGCCCTGTTTCAACTGAGTGTAACTACACACTGTCAGACCCAGGGATTGAACTAACTACCACTATATCACCAAATTCCCAAACCAACACCAGGCCGTTGTCCACCAGGCCGTTGTCCTTTAGGACGAGCCGTATTTTCCCTAGATACGAACAGTGAAACAAGAGATACGAACAGTGAAACAAGAACAGTGTAACCCCGTAGATTAGATAAAGCGTTCAGTTCAGGTAGGTTACCCAGATCGATATACACCTGATGAAGACTGGACAGTACAATGGCCGAAACCTTGTGATAGCCGCAACAAATATAAGGACAATAGTCCGAATATAAATAGTGAACATTATTTACATTATTCGGACTATTGTCCTCATCTTTGTCGACATATTTATTACAACGTTTCAACCGTTGTACGCTCCGGCCTTCTTCAGGTGGTTGGAGTGTCGAACTGAACCCTTTATTTTGCTCACTGTTCTAGTTCCACGTACAATGTTTAATGGAAGTCAGTTATCAGTTATCTCCTGTTAAAGGCGTTGGTTAGATCCAGTGAGTGGACCCAAAGAGTGTGAGTTCAATACCCGGTTAAGGCAGTGGAGAACTTTCAGAGGGAAATTAACAGGAGATAACTGATAACTGACATCCATTAAACATGGCACGTGGAACTAGAACAGTCTACCCCAGTGAGCGAAATAAAGGGTTCAGTTCGATATTCCAACCACCTGAAGAAGGCCGGAGCGTACAAAGGCTGAAGCGTTGTGATAAATATGGCGACAAAGATGAGGACAATAGTCCGAATAATGTAAATAATGTACATAATACCTCATCTCAGAAATATAGGCATAAATAGTGAAGTTTATCGAAGTTTCTTACATTTAAATTAAGCACTGTTTAGTGGCGTTCTGAACCCAACGAAAGATGACACGTTCTTTTGAAACTTCAAAAATCTAACGGGTTTTAATATCAATCCCTACTTTTTATCTAAGGTTTATATTAGACTTGTGTAGTATGGTGCAAAAGAGGCAGAATAAGCTATTCTTTTAATAATTACATATTTCTCTTTTAAAACCAATTTAGAATGTAATGTAAGCATAACTACAGACAATAACTGAACAGTACTAAGAACTAGACGAAATATCCGTAGATACGGACAGTGGAATGAGAACAGTATATCCCTGTAAATTAAATAAAGGGTTCAGTTCAGAATTCCGTGTTGGTTACCGAGATTGATATACACCCGAGGAAGACCGGAAAAGCCGAAACGTCACGGAAACAAATGATAATAGTCCGAATATACATGGGTTTAAATAATATGATATTGTTTTAGCATCGTTATTCAATTCCTTATACGATGTTTATCGAGCGAAATGAAATTTCCAGGTTTATCTTTTCCTTTTACACTGAAATGTAATTTCGACTTTCTCATCGATTTCTTTAATTTACAGAAAAATATTCCTTGAAAATTGTTGTTAAACTTTGCCATTGAGGTCTCGATTTCATTTCTCTCTGTTTAATTTTCCAATATAATGATATAAATATCAACAAACAAATACACGAGAGAATTTTTTTTTTCATAATTTAATAAATTCTTTTCGTGAAAACGTGACCCAATAAAAAGAAAACAAACTGTTTAAATTTCATCTTCGTTTGTGTCCGTGTGTAGGGCTTGGAGATAAACAGACCCATTCGTTCTCAGAACGCTTGTATCTGTGTGTGCGGTTACACTTATGTATAACTGAACATGACCCTTTTTTCTAAACATATACATCTGTCTGTATCGTATTTCGAAGTATGAATACAGGTTATGGTGGATTATATATGTTATTGTTCTTTTGAGGCTTCTAACAAAAGTTTGGTTTCTCCTAGAGATCAAGTGACAACCATCTCAAGAAATGCTGAATGTCTTTTATCCTTCCTGAAATTTCTAATTCTACAAAATTCTTTGCGGTGTTTTCGAGATCATTCAAGCCGATTATGAGGTAGAAAAGTGCCAACCCTTTCATTCCAGATTCTTCAGTAGCATAGTCTGAATATTACTCATTATTTGAAACAGTTTTTTTCTTTTGTTATGATTATTATATAGGGTCTTCCATCCTGGTTTCGTCGTCTTCCTTTTCTTCTGGTCAGAATCCATCTGGCGCATTTACAAATCTATCATTCGTTCGTATATTGAATACTATTGCCATATCCGGTCTAGGGCTCCTGCTGTACATCTTGAGATCCTTGACAAAATCTAAATCTGCAATGTAATCGATCTTCAGTCACTTTCTCACCGACGTGATGTAGCTTCCTCTGTCTTTTCTATAAATATTTTCATGGCAACTGCTCTGTCGAGCCTTTCTTCCTGATGCCCAGACTACATGAATTTAAGCATGCTACTAGATTGGCATCTAGGTCCCACCCTTTTACTGTTGAAATAGCTAAATGCAAACGACACTTCTACTCCAACAATTGCTTTTTTCACACTTCCAGCCTGTGGAACTCCCTTCGGTTTACTTGCTTCCCTGATAACAACAATCTTCAAAAATTTAAATGCAACGTCAATTACCATCTTCTGTTTTCTTGAATCCCGTTTATCTTATGTCATTTTCCGCAATGCTTCCTATTCTCAGGTTTCTCTTTCACTTTTACTTTCACTTTCACTTTCACTCTCACTTTCTGTAACCCGCGTGAACTAGTGGCATTTCCACCTTGCTTTGGGTGAAATGATTAAAACCGACAAAATGGGTCGTGCCCCTTCAGAACGTAAGTGATCATGACTCCCCACAATTTCCTGTCCTTTGTAGAATTTAATCAAGTGCATCTTTGTGCTATATCACTTAATTCGCTGTTCTGCCAACATATTTTACACAAACTCCTTTGGTAGCTTAGTCGCTGCTTTATTCTGATTCGCTTGTCTTTAACATATCTTGTGAGGGACAAATTTTCCAAGCCTTCTTTTCTCATTATGTGCCCTAGGAATTTTAACTGTTTCTATCTGGGGCTATGTATAAGTGTCCCTGATGTTTCTCTAAAACTTCGTCGTTGCACACATGCTCGGTCCTTGGTATTCTCAGTATCCTTCTGTAGACCCACATTTCTATCGCCTCAAGTATTTTTTTTCATCTGTGATGAGATTGTTCATAGAGAAGTACTGATATTACATGACAGCTCAGTATTCTTTTCTTTGATAACAATTAAATATTTCCTGATTCTAAATACTTTTTTTTAACTTTTGGAAGACATTTTTCTCAGTCTCAATATTCCTTAGTCTCAAAGAACTGTAAGCTGATATGGAACAATTGTATACGGTATAGACTTCTTTGGAGTCTATGTTTTACGGGGAGGCTAGGTTCATTTACACAATCTAGTTATGAAGATCATGGCTCTCCACAACTTCCTATCCTTTGTAGTTCTTATCAATGTTTATCTCCTTGCTATCCCTCCCAGCCCCTGTTTTGCCAACCATTTACACAAGCTCGTTAAGTTGATCATGA